AGAAAGTGCTCACGAGGTTCGGCCGCTCTTCTCTCTTCGAATTTATGACTAATTTCGTGTTTTTTCAAAACCCAGTTTTCTTATTTTTAAATCGGAAGAAGACCTTTGCATATGTTGAGTTGGTACTGATGCTTTATTCCTTGATGCTGAATTGAGGTATAATATTGATCGTTTCAAAAACTAACACGTTTTTTTTTTTTTTTTTTTTTGGTGCGAATCGTTTGAAGCTTCTAGCTGCGATATGTATATATATATATACACTGTTTATTAGGTCTTGATGGTTATGTGTTTGAAATTTATTTGAATTTTAGTGAATGTATGAGGTAAAGATGAAGTCTACCAGTTAGGGAAAGAGGAAAATGTTTAGGGTCTCTATGAAAGGAAAAAAAACCCCGGTAATCGTCAATATTCCATCTAAGACGGCTGCGGGGGGAAGTGGAAAGGTGGAGTTGGCCTAAATTAGCAGGGGGGAATTTGACAATTGCCCTGGCTGAAAATTTCCATGCTAGCAAACATCTAAATTTCCGTCCTGGTGATGGATCTTCTTCTTAGGAACTCCCTGTTTCACGTAGCAAGGTATTGTTTTTGTTCTTTTGTAATCATCAAATTTGCATATTGAGGCCCTATGATCTTATAGATGTCAACTTTTCTACGGAAAACAACACTACGGAATTGGAACCGATTAATTTAGGGCAATTTACCGATTAAACATCACTATGAAATGTTTTTTACGAGCGTCTTTGTGTAAAACCTTGATCTTTTCCTCCTTTGTTTTGGTTTAATTCTAATGCACTTCTTTTAATGTGTTGGGTATTTAGGGCAATTTGAGCTCGGTAATTTGCTGAAATACAATTTCCGCTTGCTAAAGTTGGTTGCCAAAAGATTCTTCATGCGCTGTTAACAGTCTGAAGTTGTTGCCAGGTATGGCGTCAGCGTCTCATTTGTTTTGATTCTGATTTTGCTTTTTTCCTGTTTGATTGTTAAGCATAATTTCTTTTTTGATTGTTTGAATTTTGATTTGAATCTGGTTTATTTTACACGACCTTTCTTCATTGAATTTTGGTACTATGTTAAATTCCCGAATCTGTATACATTCAAATCGCAAAGCCAGCTCTTTCTTTTTAAAGTTTAAGACTGAGCTTTCTCAATGCAACAGAGGAAATGAGTATGCTTGTAAATCAATAGCTAAGAGGAAAATCACAATAGGGGAGGATGTGAGGAGAAAAATGCAGACAATATATCATTTTCTCTAACTATAATTATTGAATATCTTTCAGATTTTGGCAAACAAGCTGTTGGTTGTTAAGCCAGTTGGAACGGAAAATTATTCTGTACTTGGTGTTTGATTTTATGGAAACTGACCTCGTAAAATTCATCTGAGGTTTTCTTCCATAAAAAGGCAGGGGTGAGTGCTTCTTACAGCTTAGTGGTTTTGATCGGCCTCTTTCAGTTTTTTTTTTTCGTAAAAAAAAAAATTTGGTTCAGAGATATGATAAATAATATTCCTTGAGCAACTTTTTTCCTTTTTCTTTAGAGATTGATCTATCAACTCTATAAGGTGTTGCTTGAACCAAAATGAAGGAATTTTAGTTATTCCTTACAGTATGAACTGATGACCCCATTCATTAGGCTTACCTGTCAAATGTCATCTTAATGTGTGTCACTGTAATGCAGGCATTGCAATGGAAGACAGTCTGTTGCGGTTAAAGATAAAAAGCAGCCAAAGGTGGTTTCTTGTGCTTCACATTGCTTCTTGGTTAATATACAGATTACCCAACTTTTTTGGTTCTGATTTTCTTTTTTTTTTTTAAGGATAAGCGTATCTTGACGATGGAGAATCTGCCAAAGCCATTGCGTGAGGTCAGCAACTAGCTCTCATTTATCATATTTGTAAATAGTTTAGGAAAGAACAGTGAAAGAAGATGTGAGTCATCCTTCATATATCACCCACCATATGCAAGTGAAAACAACTTGAGTAAAGGTTTAAATTTCTTTCAAAACGTGAGTGATAAATTTATTTGATTTTGTGTATTTTGTTATTCTATGCAGCTTGTATTATTTGTATATTTTTTTAATTTGATGGCTGAAAGAACAAAAAATAAATATTTTGGTGGTAATGATAGAGATTACCCACCTGGTCCTACTTTGATAGTATAAGGAATTTGGTTAACATGATTCTAAGATCAATTTTGTATTTTGGTTCTCAGGAGTGCTAGGATTGCACATTTGAAAACTATGTAGAAATCCAGTTTTGGGCATGACCATTTTTGTCGTAAATCATGTCTTTCAATCTTTTGCTATGTTTACGAAGTAATCTGGAACTTATTACTTGATAAAGCTTGCCTTTAGATTTATTTTCATATATCGAGATAGAGTTCTTTTTGGTGATCATTTTCGCTATCTTTTGATAATTTTGGACCATTGTTTTTTTGGTGAAAGATAATAAGAACATGCCAATTTGAGGGCGGAGAAAGAAAAAATAAAGAAAAAGAAAAAGAGATTTGAACCAGAATCAATTTCAGGGCGGATGGTTTCTCTGCAATAGTTTTCCAGTACTGCTGCTTCATAGCAACCGCAATTGTAACTTTGTCTTCTTGTATCTGTTGCTTTGGAGTAATTTCTGTTTGGTATTTTTCTGTTACAGGTAAGCATATTCAATCAATTTGCAAAATGATACCCCTTGTGTTGCAATTCATATCCATGTTGCAGGTTCCTCCAACTTCTCTCTTACTAAAGATTGTATTAGAAAACATTCAAACTCTAATGAATTCTCTGCAATAGCTCCTGGCCACTACTACTTTCAAGTGCTACGTAACTTGTTTTTGAATCTGTGCTTTGGAGTAACTTTTGGTGGAAATTTTTTGTTTCAGTTAAAGATGGATCTAGTGACAGCTTTTTTGGCCTTCTTTGACCAAGACCACTTCGGATAATACTCGCTCCAGCTTCTCACAGGGTATCAACTGCATCTCCTTTTTAAAAATAATCATTATAGTGCTTCAGCTGATATGCTTGGAAAAGAATCGATCATTCAACTTGAATAAGGATTTGGATTTCAAAATCTCGACTTTCTTTAGAAACCAAGAGATGCGTGTTGAAGCTGGCTAGATTAACCTGTGATTTTAAACTCAAGAATCGGATTTCTAGCACTTATGTTTTTCAAAATTCTCCACTTCTCAAGTTCATGATTCCATTTTTCAATATATGTTATATTATAGTTTGCATCTCTCTATAAGTTATTTTATCAGTTCGTGCTAATCTCATTTACAAGCAAAAGGATCAGAAACTGAAATGATGACAGTGGTTGTATTTGCTAGGCCTTCTGGTGATTATGCTATCGTTATCAGTCACAACCCTGTCACCTCTTTATTATGTTGGGTGCTTTTTCGCTATTTTGATTTATGTACAAATGATTTTTGTTTTTTTTTTTTTGGTTATAGTATGTATTCAAGACAATTTATCGGGCATGTGATTATGTTGATGGTTCTGAAAGGGTTGGTGATATGATTAATCGATTCTGAGTTATAAGTTTTAATTAATTGGTGCATTTTTCGGTTGAAGTTGTCTCGATACATAGAAATTAAATATTTCGAAAAAATCAAGAGCGGTTTTGAAGGCAAAAATTTGTATATGTTCACGATCTTCAGGTGATAAGTGAGTTTCCAGGTACATTCAAAGCCTCCCGTTTTCAGAAGAGGAGATTAATGTTAAATGAAAGAGGATTAAAATGAAAGAGCTGCAGATTTTAGAGGATTTGAAGTAGCTCTCCAAATTTTTCACAACTATTTCCTACTGATTAGATTAGTGTTTTGCAGATTTAGGAATGGACTAGAGACTTGTTTCTATATATGGCTAGCTACTTTTTTTTAATGCACAAGATGTACTGGCAAGGAAGAAATCATTCTGTCTTTAAACCTATTAGTATTACTACTATTATTACTCTATAATTTTAGTTATAGAATCATAAACACATTGTAAATCCATGCGTAAAGAAAGGTTCAATACTCGATTCCATGATCAGCTAAATATATATTATATTGGTTTGCCATGTAAGCAGGCATGTAATCTATCAAAAACTCCAATAATCTAGGAAATTCCAACTTCAATAATTACTGAGAAATATAAAAAAGTACGAAAATTCTTGCTGAAAAATGAGCCATAACGTGTGTAATTTTATCATGAGCCATAAAGCGTGTAAGTAAAATGAAATACTACAAACCGGAAACAATTCCACTTAGGAATCAACCTCCAAAAACCTATTACAATTAAGAAACGGAAATTCTAATAACTGCAGGAGCCCCTATATATACGAACAATCATCTTTAATTTACCCACAAAAATTTGCATCCGGCAAGAAACGCTAACACTGCATCATTCTTTATTTGTTTGCCATTCTTTCTTTGACGAGGTGTAATTAATTTGGTTGAATAACATGTATGCTATATGTTAGCAATATATCAATAATTTGATTATTGCTTTAACTTCAACTTCTACAGGCAACAAACTTAGCGGCGATTGCTTGCACATCAAAACATTGGCATTCAACTTCCCAAGTTATGGACCGTAATGCAAAATGTCGAGCTAAATATGCCAGCTTATCTGTCGAAGAAAAGGCAGCAAGAAATCTTCAACGACGAGCTAATAGACACACTGAAAGGGGAGTATGCCTACCTTCCAGCTCTAATGTCAGGATGGAGACCACACTAAACAGCGTGTACCCGATAGCAAATTAAGTACTCCAGGGTTATTTATAAGGTGCGTCGCGCGAATGCGGGACGAATGCTCGAGAGGTAGTCTAAAAACTAAATTTAGGTTGGTGGCAGTCAGCTCTCTTAACTTTATTAATTTAAAGGAAAAAATTTATTAGTCAGTACTTAACACTTATCCAAAGAACGATATGTCTTACATTAAACTTTTTTAAAAGAAAATATTTGAAGATTTTTTTATGGTCGAAACACATTGAACCACAACAAAAATTGCAAGTTCAAACCCTAGCCATTTAATCAAGGATCAAACCAGTAAGGGTCAGAATAGCTAAGGAAATCAGGGTCAGGCCATTTAATTAGATCCTCAAACTCGTCATTCATCAAGAATGGAACAAGGCCAGAAAAACTAGATTCCACCTCGGAATTCAATTTGGTTTCCGCATTCGCCAATGTTGTTGCATCCTTGCTTGTTCCTTCTCTTTCTTCTTGCTTGCTTTTAGCATTATTATTTTTACTTTCGATTGAACTATGAGAATCTTTCGAAGGATTGTGACAGGGAGGAGAGAGAACAATTTGGGAGTTTCCTGAAATTGGGTTCATTTGTTGAGGAGGTTCTAGCAAGGTTTTCAAATCTTCAATAGCTTTATCTATTTGACCCTCATCCAACCCACTTTCAACTTCAGGCAAGGAATCTAAAAAGTCCCGATACATGAGAACCAAATCCATAACCTCTCGGCTCATTGCCGCTTGGGAGCTGCCAACTTCATTATGAGATCCAGCAATAGTAGTTCGGACTTCCGATGAATAGATTGTTTGGGAGCCATGAATGTTTTGTCCCTTTATGAGTGAGCTAGTTCCCAAACATTCATTTGTACCTATTTGGAGGGAAACAAATAAAATAAAACACTGACTCTGTCATTAATTTTTTTTCTCATAAAATCTTTTACAGTATTATGCAAATAGTCCATTAAGAAAATGATGTCTATGTAAGCACTCCTTATTATCAACAAACACAATCGATGAAAATATTAATTAAAACATTCTAGCAAATTTTAATATCTTTCCTGAGTGAAGGAATGAGAAAAATGGCTTAGTTATTCCTTTTAATCTAAATTTCAATAGCAAACCTTTTAATCGATGCAAATAGTTGTGTAATTACCTAACCCAAGGTTGTGTCCTTTTAGCAAATTTCGAGCTTCATTTTCTTCATTAAGAACAGGCAAATCAGTTGCTGAAGTGGGCAGCAAATTCTGATCCCAATCATAAGTAGATGTAGCACTTCTCTGAGGTCTGTTGACAACCACTTAATGTAAATGAAGAAACATCTGAAAATATAACAGATATTTTCTTTCAGGATACATGTGCTTAGTCATCTACCTTGTTGAATCAACGAGGGAGGCAGGGCAACTGCCTCTTAAAATGTTCTCCTTGTGTCTCCTAAAAATGAAAAACACGGTAAAATAGATCAATTATTCTACAGACTTGCAGTTCGGTCTAGTATATTTTCGGAAAAATCTAAGATGTGTTTTGACTACTGAGAAACATCTTTTTTTTTTTTACTGGCGGTTAATGGCTTTAATTACAACAACATAAATATCTATAATTAGCCAGGAAAAAATTGGGAAAAATAGTAAAGGAAAATCCAGTTCACATAACTTTAAATAAATTAACAATTATGAAACAAATAACAAGAAGCTAAAATTGCCACCAAACTACATAAATCAACCTTTGCAAAAATGAAATCTGTGCAAAACACAAACATTTTTTAAAATTATAAAATTAAAAAAAACAATAATAACCGCTAAGAATTATGAATCTAACCCATTTTCTTGTGATGGTGGTGGTAGTGGTGGGGGAATTGAAACCAACGTGTTCAATCCATGTTGACTTTTTGTTGATGAACTTCTAGCTCCTGAGTGAGATCTTTTTATGTTTAGGTTAATGTTGTTACCGGGTAATCGGGATCTTTCACGTCGGATAACCCGATATTGACGACCACCGCCTCCTCTTCCTCCACACGGTGAAGAATCCAAAGCTTGAATTGAAACATTAACCTGCAAAACTGTTTGATCTTCAGAATTTTCCTTGACAATCATCTCTTGATGATCCCGTGTGTTTACAGTTCTTAGTGAAGAACTTGAATTCACATGCATTGATGATGAAATACTATTAGACATGATTTTCAGGATTTGGATGTCGATACAATTTAAGATTTGTGGAGTTAAAAGGAAAATATTAATGGGTGGATTTCAGCTACATGCAATCGGAGAAGAAGAAGAAGAAGAAGAAGAAGAAGAAGAAGAAGAAGAATGTGAGCTTTGATTTCTTGGGAGTCTGCTATTTAACTGTAAGTTTCTATAATGAGTGCTCAGCTTATTTTATAAAAGATCGGTGAGAATATGACGAAAGAAAAGAGTCACATCTGATAATGAAAACGTAAAAAGAAGCGGTGACCCCATGTTGCTGTTGGACATCTGTTCGATGGAGTTGACAACAAAGAAAGGTGAGGAATTTGGGAAGTAAAGACGTATCCAATTTTTCTTTCTACTATGTGATTGTGTGTTTGGGAGCTTACATAAGTGTGCGTACGACCGAAACTTGTCTAAAATTCACATGGATATAAGGATATCTTGGCCAATGTTTCTAAATAGCACGATTATTAATTGATTTCGTGTCAGTTCCAATCTTAAATGTATAGTCAATTGCCTCATTGCTGGTATAAATTTTTCCATTTGGATTGCAGATATCTGTAACCAATAGACCTTCTAGACATTAATGAAGTGGTGATCATAAAAGAAATAGTGTAAATGGCACCAATCACCTCTTTAACTTGGTTTCTCATTTTATTTCATCATCGATCGACCTTTAAACCAATATATATATATATATGATTATAGTCTATAGTTTTACTGTTGCAGGATCCAAAATCACTAACAAAGATTTTTAATAGAGTACATGTCTATATACCTAATGAACCATGGTAGTGAAGATTAAGAAGGAAGTAATATATATATATATATATATATATATATATATATATACACAAAAATACTAAGAGAAAAAATACTAGAAACAAAAACCACACTTAAGAGAAAGTACCACCATTTGCCATGTGGCATTTTCACATTATATTTTTAAAATAAATTTTTATTTACACATCAGTTTCCTAGACTTAAAAGGCAAATGCAATCCAAATCCACCACCACCTCCTATTTTTGCCAAAACAAAAAAAACAAAAACACGGCTTCATAAAAAACACAAATCCTCATCTCCATCTCTACGATAATCGACTCCCTAATCAATCCCTTCTCCACAATAAAAAAAAAAAACAAATTCCTCATCAATCATCAATTGATAATATGTGGTGAAATATACTTCTTTCCTATTAGCATGTTCAATCTTTTCATTAGTGATGATCAACTACATCCTAGTCAGATAAAATTTCAACTTCAAAAAATATTCTCTTTACCTCTCTATATAAACACAAAAGGAAAAAAAAAATTCTCATTGATGTTGCTTTCGGCCGTTGTGGTGGTGCCATTACAGATATTAAAATTTAAATGATTTTATATCCACAGATCATTTGTACGGATTTTATTATTTTTTGTTTTTCCCGTTCAATAATAGTGTTATTACTATTATTTTTATGCGTTCACCCGTTACAGCTACCGTAGCCGTTGCCAGGTAATATGATGTGATTTCTTATATGGTTAGTCAGCTTAGAATTTTTGTATGATTTTAGTTCTGTTTGAATTGAATTGATCAATTGGGTTTTTTGTCACAAAATCTTATTACTATTATTTTTATGCGTCCACCCGTTACAGCTACCGTAGCCGTTGCCAGGTAATATGATGTGATTTCATATATGGTTAGTCAGCTTAGAATTTTTGTATGATTTTAGTTCTGTTTGAATTGAATTGATCAATTGGGTTTTTGTCACAAAGTGTGGTTTTTTTAATTTCTTTTTTATATTTTATTCATTTAGAGTGGTTTTCCTTTTTTTAATTATGGAGTCTCAGTTTTTTTTCGTATATGGTCAGTTATGAATTGTGTTTTTTCTTTGTTTAATTGCTTTTGATTTTGTTTCATACTCCCAGTTGACCAATTATTATTATTATTATTATTATTATTTTTGCAAATGAAGTGCGTTTTTTTTTGTGTTCGGACTTTCAAAAATATACTTTTTTGGATTTGGTTTTTGGACTTTTTTAAATTACTCATCATATAAATGGTTCAGGTCGCTTTTTCTAACTAATTTATGGGGAAGCCGTTTATGAATTTGAGGTGGAGAGGAAGGAATGATGTTTCTACGTTTATTTGTGTTTTATATACTTACATGAAAAAAAAATTTCTCAATTTTTAATGGACTCTTTTACTTATTTTTTTTTTTATTTGCCATGGTGAGGTGAGTTCTTTTTTGCTATAACTTGAAACCTATGAAAATTTACATTAATTTTCATTCTCATATTGTGATCAACCAGTTTCAACAATTAATCAGTTTCAAAATCATATTTTTGATATTTTACTAGCATAAGCCTTTGGAAGAAACAGTTCCAACAATTAAACGTATACCCTTCAGAGGAAGCTTACTACAAAGCTATTATAAATCTCCAAAACCAAATATTGATTTGGCACGACAAATGGAGAACATCAATAAATCATCTTACTAATATTTAAACTTATTAGGATACTTTTATATTTTGTCAAACATTTACTTCAAGAGATATACTTGATCAAGTTTATTTATATTTAATAAGTAACACTTATAAAACATTTCTAAAATATTCAAACATTTCTAAAACGTACCGGACCAAATACACTTTCTTTTTTTTATGCCAAATACAAACATTTTTATGATCACACTTATAAAACATTTCTAAATTCTTCAAACATTTCTAAAATATATCGGGCCAAATGTAAAATATTTTTTTTTCAAATACAAACATTTCTAAGATCTACAAATATACTGGGCCAGGGTCACGCATTGTGCGACCAGACATCACTAGTATATATATATGATTATAGTCTATAGTTTTACTGTTGCAGGATCCAAAATCACTAACAAAGATTTTTAATAGAGTACATGTCTATATACCTAATGAACCATGGTAGTGAAGATTAAGAAGGAAGTAATATTATGTGCTATTACACTCTTGTATGGTGCAAACCAAAAGAGCATAAACAAACAACTTTTGAAAGAATATAGCTAGCGATATATTTTTTAAATTTAACATTATTGCCTAAATCACCTTGTCCGATAAATTCGAGTAATCTGCTCAACGAATCATTTACATTTGCCAAAAAACTTAATTTGGCTTTAACATTAACAATTCACTGGTTTGGTCCATTATATTTGTGTGTTCCACTAGTTTATTCCTGCTTTTGTTTTTTTTTTTGACAGTTTACATTTAGGGTTCTTAAGTTGTCCATTTTAAGTCAATTCAACATGGATATTTTCGGTAATGCTTAATTTTAATTTTTAAAAAATGTAAAAAAATTTGATTAAAATAATATTAAAAATATTATTTTTATTTACAATTAATTAAGACATTTTAAAAAAATTAAAAAATTAAAAATAATTATAAATATGATTTTATCTTTTTTTAACCCATGGACCCCACCTCTAGTGTTATTTCTTCTTCTACTTTTATCCCCTTTACCATGGTCAAATGTCAAATGCTCATTCCCAACCCCTTCAGCAACCCGTCTAAAAAACCCAATTTGCCATGAACTCTAATTCCAATCGGGCTGATAAAAAGATGAAGAATATATAAGGGAGAGAGCAAAGGGAAAGAAAAAGGTCTAAAGTGAAGGGGGATAAAAGTGAAAGAAGAAGGACCGTCAGAGGTGGGATCCATGCATTAAAAAAAAGAAAAAAAATCATAATTTTTTTTTTAATTTTGTTTGAATTTTGATTTTTTAATTAAAAATCAATTTTTTTAAAAAATCATAATTTTTTAATTTTTTTTTTAATTTTGTTTGAATTTTGATTTTTTAATTACAAATCAATATAATATTTTTAATATTATTTTGATTAAGTTCTTTCTATTTTGAAAAAATAAAATTAAGAATTACCAAAAATCCCTCTGTTAACTTAAGCCAAGAACTGGTCAACCGAAGAATCCCCAAATGTAAAGTGTCAAAAAAGAATTAAAACAGACCATATTAGTGGAAAACACAAATGTAATGGACCAAACCAGTGAATCGTTAATATTAGTTTCGAGAATAAGATCTTGATCTCTTACTTGCTAATACTCTTCACAAATGTAATGTTCTTGAAGATGAGACGTTTAGCAAATCATATAGTGGTTCTACGCGTGACCTAAACTTTTTCCGGAGAATAAGTATATGTGGTTGTAGTGTATCCTCAAGTATGACCCCAATCTATCTCCTCCATTGTTCATTCTCCAATTGATATCATTTGGTGCAATATTATGTTTTAATTGATCAAACATTTTGTTATATGACTTTTGAGGAGATTCCTGTTTTGAATTTACAATGGTCAGAAGAGAGTGGTGATGATTCTTCGTAAGTTATTTCTATTTTCAAAAACACAATGTAGCACTGTGCAAAAAAAGAAAAATATAGCTCTTCACAAGAAAACCGAACAAATACCAGAAGGCATAACAACCTTGGTGTTGTGAAGTGAAATCTGGAAGTTCAGCAAAATGACATGAAGCACAAGGGAGACTAAAGAGACTCTCATGGGAGGAAAAAGACTAACCCTTTGAGCAATGACCAGTATGTTTAGAGAGAAAAAACGTTGAGCCTGTTTTGGTTGGTTTCATATAAAAAATTGTATATATATATATATATGTATATATTTCCTTCTCTTTTTGTTTTGGTTCTTAGATGATGTGAACATGTGAAATTTCTTATTGGTTTAGGTTAGTAAATTATGAAGTGACGTAATCATGATGCTAAAAACTATATCAACATCGTAGACAGTTTGCTTTATGATTTTGTTGAGGAGCATAAAAACTAGAGTGACACTGTTATTAGTATTGTACTTTAACCACCTGGGCAAATTAATATTTCTTTTATTATTCTATATACTACTTGTGTCCAAGCCAAACACTAGCAAAATATGACAATGTGAACAAAATGTTTATGTATCTTAAAATGATGCATTTGCTGTGTAAGTTATTCTATCATCCACTCCCTTTTGTAATTTCTA